AAAAGTGATTCCATCTGACATGCCACTGATTGCAGTAGGGGCATGGTACTTATGAATGGTGAATTTAATTTAAATTTACTTGGAATTTGCTGTCAGGATTGTGCATAGCTTGTGATCTCGTGGAAGAAATGCTGAGTGACAGTTAGGATTTTCCTTTGCTTTTTTGCTTTCCACATTCCAGGTTTTTTTGGGAGGAGAAGATCATAGAACCATTGGAATTACTTTAATCAGACTGTGGCATTGACCCTGATAATGGTATTTATTTGTTGCAGCTGCTGGATACAAGGAGCAAAAATATGAATATTTGAGTCCGCTGGAGCTTTAATTGCAGTGTAGTTAGAGAGTCAGTCAAGTCTTCAGTTGATTTAACTACTTTTTTTTTTTCCCTAAAGATTTCTGCAAAAGTATATTTTGTCCTTCCTGAACTGTTGCGATTTCTGATACCAATGCGAGGAAGGATGAACCAAGGAGGTTGAATATCATTGTGCGAAACTAAACAAATTGCACTTAACATAAAAGCAGCTGGAGCAGAGAGATGTGATGTGTGTTGCTGCTGAATATGGAGGAGAGAATTTGTCTTATTGTAAAATACTAATTGTCAAGTGGATTTTGTTTTCAGTTCTGTCATTGTGTTTTGTTTTAGGTCGTGTTTAATATGATTGTAGAAGTGCCTCGTTGGACAAACGCAAAAATGGAGGTAATTGAGAAAAACATCTTGATTATATAGGTATTTATGAAAGTTATAACAATGCAGTGGCTTCCAATAGCCAGAATTTAGTCAGTGTGTGGATTACTCTTTACACATTAAATTTTCTTTTAAATGAATTTGAAGTTGTGAATACAGACGCTTCCCTTGCGATTATAAGAAGTGTTGAGGTTTTAATTTTGGTTTTCTTCCACCAGTGAGCACTGCTTCTTGACAGCCCTCTGACTGCAGAGTGCAGCATACCTGCAAGAGGCCTAGAGTACTGACTTGCAGGATGTTGTCCAACATTTAGTCGTACTCTTGCTCTTAGAGCGTTCCACTCAGAGGATTTAATTCCTCTCACTTCCACTGTATAGCGTGCTAGACCAAATCCTGACAAATGGAGTTGCAAATGGAAAAACATTTCCTTGTGTCAAAAAAAATACTTGGGGTCCTCACTGACTGAAACTATCTACTCCTGTAGGGAGATATTTTAAAAGTAGAGCCTAGTGGGTTGTTTCTCCACAGTTAAACTATAGAAACTGAGTAATGTTTCATCTGTAGTGTTCGTGAAACAACAGATCTCCCCAGGATATGTCCTATCTTCCTGAACATTTGTATTCATTTTAGGGATGCTTCCTGGATGCTTTTAAGGAAGTTTGTGGTTGAGCTGTTAACTATTTTGGTTATTAAAAATAACACCAAAGAACCTCCCCAGCCTGTTATTTCAGAATCTTGTTTCCTTCTTTCCCTGGTGCTGGAAAATCATTTGAACTGTGTTTAGCACCACAGTTGTTACTCTGCAAGCAGGGTTACTGTGGATATTTACCTTGTGTTTAAGATGATGATTTATCGCGGAAGCTGAGTTCTTCTCTGCAGTTTCCCTTTGACAACACTATTTGAACTCTGCGTAAAGCTTAGGTTGCTCTCCCTCCCCTTCTTTCGCACATTACGTTGAGGGTGAAAAGTTTGCTGTCCTGTTAGGTTCAGAAACCAGTGGGTTTAGGCTTTTCTGGCTTGATAGAGGAGACCAGATGTAGTTCTCTAATCTATAACTTTTAATACACTTGAAATTTCCTGCAGTAATTGTTAAGGCAGTTGCCTTGCCTTGCCATTGTGTCCTGGCAGTCCTTCAGACCAGGCTGTGGCAAAGTGCTAATACCAGGTCTTGTCTGTATCTCCGTGCTGAGATTCCCTCATGTGGAATGGAGACTGGAGGAAATTACACCTTGCCTTAGGATGAATGTTTCCCGCTGTTACATCCCCAGTGCCAGATCTGCTCATCAGTTTGTTGTATTTCTGTTGTTCTTCTCTTGATTTTACTGAAGATGTGTTTCGTGAGACTTTTGTCTGTTGTTGTCAGTTACTCTTCTTTGTCCCAGTTCATGTCAAGAAAAAGCATTGCTGAGATCCACTTCTGTCAAAGTCCCTGGTGGCATATTTGAGGTCTTCACTGTTAAGTTATGACCAGAAGCAGGTAGAATCAAGTGTGAAACCAGAAATGTGTGAACCCTGATCTCAGCTCTTGGGAAGGGTTTACTTGTGGAATAAGTGCATGGTATTGACAGGTTAGTGTGGTTCAAAAAGGTGGAATTCCTTTGGGGTGGCTTTGGTGGTGATGTAAAATGAATATGGACTAAGGGCTGTGTGCTTATGCACACAAGGTATGTCCCACCTGAGCCGGCATAACCACTTGAGCATGTCACAAATAGGAGGCCATTCAGATGACTGTTTGTAAGCAAGGGCCAAGCTAACATGGATTGAATTGTGGTGTGGAGTGTCAAAAGGATGGTTACAGTGAATTAGCTGATGTGTGGTAGGTAACTCGTATGGCAGTGGGTTTGTATTTGAGGCTTTGGGGAGGATGATGACAGTAATAAACTGTTCAGCTTTAATTAGTTCAGTCCTTCTGCGAGTGCTTCTTTGGGAGTAAGAATGCCACCTTCTAATGCTAGCTTAACTTCTTCCAAATTGTGTTAAGTTGGCATTCGGTGACTAGTCAGAACTTGTGCGTACTAAAAAGCATTTGTATGCTGAGAGGTGGTGGAGAGCAATGAACAGAGGGTGAGAAGAAGGTGGAACATTTCCCCTATTGCTGTCAAAGCCCTTGTTGTCAGAAGAACTTGTGCCATCATTTGGATATCTGTTGAACTTGTACTATAAAGTGTAAGAGCTTCTAACTTAAATTCCTTTCAGTATTTATGTTTGACCATGACAGTATCCTTATAAATTTATGACTTTCTTGTCTAGATTATTTTTTTTTCTTGCATACTTCACAACATTATTTAAAACCTTAATAAGCTGCTTTTTGAACATGACCCTTGAGACATAGAGTGAGGCCATCATACTTTTAATACTTCTCAAGCCACAAGAACATGCTCCCGGATGGATCTTTCTAACTGGTTGGGTACAGAATGAATTGCTTTCCATTTTACCGTTCTCTCTTCTCTTTCTCTCTCTCTCTCTCTTTTCCATGATCTGCTTAGATTGCCACTGAGGAGCCATTGAATCCCATTAAACAAGATATAAAGAAAGGCAAGCTTCGATATGTGGCAAATATCTTTCCTCATAAGGGTTATATATGGAATTATGGTGCCCTCCCACAGGTAACATTTTTGTTATAATGGTGAAAGTTTTCTGTCTTCTGTGTAAATTGCCTTGTAAATCTTGGGTACTGCTTGAATGCAAATCAGCTGCAAGAGGGATGTTTCTCATTGATACGTTTGTAAATTAGGATTTTTTTTATGTTGAGCTTTATCGTGTCCATAAATTTTGATTAGAATTTGGGTGTGGGTGTAAATATGTGCTGTGTTTCAGGAAGGAGTTAAATGATCAAGAAATCTCGAGTCTTTATTCTGCATCTCTGTACTGTAGTGACAGAATTAAACTGTCATGGTCTGCCATTCAAGAATACTTTGTCAAGTAGCCCTTTTCTGCTTAAACAAGGCTTTTTTAAAAAAACTAATTTAGGATTTTCATGTATTGCAGCATAAATTTTAATTGGGACTTCTTAATATCTTTAACAAAGAGGAACTCGAGGGCTGTTCTTTTTTAGATTAAACCTCAACTGCCTTAGTTGACTTTTCTCTGAAGCATGAGACTTTACCGATCATGACACATTCAAAAATTTGAGCCTTGAAAAAGCCCAACTAGTGCCTGACATTTTGAGCATAATGAAAAGTTTTAAACTTTTTTCATTTGTGTGAATAACTCATTGGACTTAAATTAGTACTGAAGAACATGATGGCACTAGAAGAGAGTGACTTATTTTCTATACACTTAACGGCATAAGCAATGAAAGTTTACTCCTGAAAATCTACTTATGTATTTGATCCTTGAAGAGAGGAGATACCAGGTAGGTGCTGGAGTATAGCAGTGAAGTTCTTAGCCAGTCAGCAGTCTCAGTAGACAAACTTTCCAAGTAGGTATAGCTGGGAACCAGCAATTCCATTTGAAGTTTTGAAATTGGTGTATGCCTTAGTACAAAGCCAAAATTAAACATTTGCGTTACTTTCCTGCACAAAGTGCATTATTTTGGACTGATGACACTTCTTGCAGGAGAAATGTTCAGCTCCCGCTGTTACCTTCTGAGTCAGAGAGGGCTGGAGGTTATTGTTGTTTTTATTTTCTGTAATAACTTTAAAATACCAGTTGGATCATTACACTTCCAATTATTGAAGTCTAGATGATACACCAGATTCCTACTAGCAGCTGTAACGGACAAAATCCAATTCAGTATCTCCATTATCACAAGAGGACTTTTCATCAGGATCAGCAGTTGCCAGAAGTTCAACCCTAGTATATGGCTTAAAGATATGCGTTTGTGGTTGCTGTTTTACACTGTGAAACAGAGAAGAAAAAAATGACAGCGGGACTATCATCATTGCAGGAGTTGCTGTACTGTCCAGAGAGCAATACCATTTCTAGCAAGCTTTCGTTCTAACCTACAGGTGGAGGGGTGCAGCGGAGCAGGAGAATAATACTGATATAATGCAACCTTAAATAAAAACCACTTTGGAAGAGTACTGGAAAAATAAGTTTTAAGTTGAAATTCTCTCTTGACTCTGCTTCAGCAATTTTTTGGTAATGATTCTGCTATCTAAACACCTAAGCATTTACTTTTCACCATTTTGCCTTTTAGTATCAGTCAAGTTCTCAAGAACAAGTTTGGGGTGGAGGTTTGACCATGGACAGCAGGGGCTAAGAGTATAGCTCCTTGAAAAAAAAATTTTGTAACACCTTTGCAACAAAACTTCATTGGACTCAAAATTCTTACCAGGAAAACTTCTCAACTTTAGAATGAGTTGCTCATTACTAGCCAGTAAAAGACAAAACAAGTCCTGGTCTAGTAATTAAGTTAATATAACTTGGCTATGATTCCTTGCTTGTACAGAGCTCAGAACAGGGATTTGAACTTGCCTCCTGGAGAAGCTTCTTTGGTCTTAAGCTGTTGGCTGTTCTTGGGAGTGTACACATCTCAAAATACTCATAACTATTTCATACCTAAACACTTTAAAAATCTAATTGGGCACTGACAAATCCATACCTAGGAGCTTGGTTAGCTCAAAGCCTAGATGTATCTGAAAGCAACTTAGGTTAGTGCCATGGTATTTAAAGAGTACAATAAGAATGTATTTGTAGGATGTCCTGGCTTAATCCCACAACCACTAATAACCAGAAAAATACATACTCAGTGTCCTCTAATTCATTAGTCACTGCAATTTGATAAAGTCTATCAGCTGAGTCATGGATGAAGTTAATATTTTTGTTACTATGCCGTCAGTGATCCTCATGTTGTCCTCAGTATGAGGATGGGTTACTCAATGTCAGTCCATTGGCTGTTTGTTTTTTTTCTTTTCCCATTGAGCAAGACCATTCTCAGATGGCTGATGTTTTTATTGGTGTTTTTATTAATCGTAGTAATTTAGTGGTTAGTTGAACTGTAGTTGCAGATCAGCTGGTAACTGATGATTCTCCTTCCTTTGACAGACCTGGGAAGACCCAAACCATACGGATAACGTTACAGGATGTTGTGGGGATAATGATCCTATTGATGTTTGTGAAATAGGTTCAAAGGTTTGTCTTTATCAAGATTAATTTAATTTATCAATGTTAACTTAATAATTTGGTAACAATTTTTGGAAGAGAAAGGCAGATGGAAAACAAGAAACGATGGTAATAGTCTCAGGGGCTGACAAAAGTATGAATATAGAGGATCTGAGGAGGGAATAGGTAAGGAAGTGGTGGATATTTAAAAAGGAGGAAAAAAGCAGGATTTGGTAAAGTCTGTGTACTGGATAAAAGGGAAAATAAGAGACCGCCACCCTGAAGTTCTGTGGCTGGACAGTGAGTTTTGAGTGAAGGAGGGGAAGGTTAAGATTTTTGGGAAAGGAAAAGATTTCTTTCTTTTTCCCCTGTTGGCAGTATTGGAGCTAGGAATAGGTTTCTGAAAGATGAGGAAGTGTGGTAGCGTCATACACATAGAATTACAAGGTCAGACCCACAAAGGAGGTAGGTTTGAGGTTTCTCGTGGGTGCAAACAGAAATAGAGCACTCATCTCTAGAGGAGAAGACTGGAGCCTGTTGCAGAGTTATGAGATGCATAGTGAATGGATGAGAAGGAGGTGCAGCAAACACCATTAGCAGGTATAGGGGAAAGGTTTAGCTCCCTGAAAGAAAATTCTACGTTTCTGGGGGCAGCAGAGAATGGAGCAATCCTCTGTGGTATCAAAGATGAGGTTATGAAACGGATGAGTTTGGAAGAGGGATCTCTTGGGATATTTTAGTAAGGGAAATTTAATTGGTGACCTCAGTGAAGGTGGCTTTTTTTGAGGAAAGGAGCCTAAAGCTGAATTTCAAGGGATCCAGAGAGAGTTATAAAGGGAACGTTTGCTGGTAGGGAGAAGGTTCCCAAGAAAATGCAAAAAAGAGTTGTGCTGATGTTTCTGGGGAAGGAGTGTGTGTTTATATGTGTATATTGAAGTCTAGAGGGAGGTACAGCAAGAGATAGATTAAGACCAAGAGCTGAGAAAGCAGAGAGTCAAGAGGCAGGAAGGAGATAAAAAATAAGTATGAGATACTTTTGACTTGCAGTTTGGGCTGAAGATCAAGAAGATGTGGGGGAAGTAGGGTGGAAGAGAAGGGAAAATTTTCTAGCTTGTTGTCTGCTTAACGTTGACTGGAGAATTGAGGGTTGAAGAATAGCAATAGTGGGAGAAAGGCTGGTAATGTTAAAATAGATGTGTACTGGGTTTACAGATCTGTCTTGTAGTTCTATTTGTTGATGCTCAAAAATGTAATAAAACTATTTTGTCTGAAAGGTGAAAGAGAGATTCCATGTAGTGTTTTCCAAATCTTTGAGAAATTATGTTCTGTTTCAGATTCGTTCTTCTGGGGAGATTGTTCAGGTGAAGGTCTTGGGTGTTTTAGCTCTCGTTGATGAAGGAGAGACAGATTGGAAGATAATTGCTATCAGTGTGGATGATCCAGAAGCTCAGAAAATCCATGGCAAGTATTTTTATCTTAATGCAAGTTACATCAGCAGCGTGCACAGTAGAATGGTACCTGAATTTAGACCACCCAGGACAAGAAGAGGCAGACAGTGGAAAGGCAAGACTTTTTTTCTTCTTCTTGTTTAAATCAGGTGCTTCCCTCAAGGAGGGCATATGTGCTTTCACACTAAGCTTTTGGAAAGGTTCACTTGGATTTTTCAAGAGAACCTGTCATGCAGAAAGTCTTTTGACTTCTGAAACACAGCTGCCTTAGAAAGTCACCTCTTAAAATTACAGGCTTATCTCCTGTGTAATAGTGCATATTTACCCACTCAAATTACGTATTACACTGCTGTTTTCCTTATTGAAAGTGTTTGTTCCGTTTATATTTGCAGGCATTGTGTTGTGTTCTGAAAAGGGCTGTATGTTTCCAATGTTTTGTCACTTGTAACTGGGTTACTTCCAGGGTTTGTTGCCTAGTATGAACAATTGGGTTTCACCTTTAGCTTGAAAATTTGCAAAGTAAACTGCTAATGCAGCTCACAGTAATATCAGCCTTGATGATGACTAGCTGTGCAGGGGGAAATACCCTGTCCAGACTTGTCCTCCTTCTGACCATGCTTCCGGTATCCAAATGAAATTCAAGTACTAAAATGTGTCTCTCTGAATAGCATGTGAGGTGTGATTCTGCTTGCAGACTGATCGATAAGAAGATGATACAGATGTGTTAAAACTGCGGGGAGTTAGGTTTTTACAGCACAGGTAAAGTGTAGCTTTTCTCTGGATAAATGGAGGTTCACTTCCTCAAATGCAATGTTACGAGGAATCATGAGAATTAAGCGGGGAGGTTTGTCTAAAAGTTAGTGATAGTTATGAGATGAAAACCCATATACACCATCAGGTATGTATGATCAGAGCCTGCTCTTTGTTGGTAGGGATTACCCAGGCACAAAGTGGCCTTCCTGTAGGAATAGGGCTGTCCGGTAGCTTTTTAAGGAATTATGTTTCTCGACCGTTGAGGTTTTTTCCTGGTTTCTGAATGTAAAGTAAGTATATCACTGGACTGGCCCTTCATTCTCAGTTTTCTTGCAGGTTACTTTCACATGGAGAATACTTGGCTTGTGGGGAAAGAATGGGAGAAGAGGAAATGAGGAAAAGGAAACTCTTGGGTTGATGCTGATTAAAATCATTGGGCAGATGAATTACTACATAATGTTTATGACTCTTTAACTACTTTGACAGTTAGAGATTAAGAAGTTCAGCTTAAGGAAATAGTAAGTAATAGTTTGCTGTTAATGTTAGTATCAATTTAAACCTCTGTAATGTGCGGTGAAATGTGATATAAGTGTCAGTAGTTAAAAGACAAGTAATTAACACTTTATTTCTAGACACTGTTCTGTTTAACTCTTACCTTTTTTCCTTAACAATTTTGGAGAGAGTTTAATCAGAAAAGTGGGTGAGAGAATTTAAAAGGAGCCCAGTAAGTAGGGGCAAAACTGGGACAGTTTATGCCACTGGGTTAAGTAGCTCTATTTGAAAGCCCTCTGTTTTGTTTTGCTTTTTGGTTTTTGGTTTTTTTTTTTTCAGGTAATGACTGATTTATGTCAGCTGTGTTACAGGTTTAGTTTGTTTGGGAAGGTAGTAAGAGTTTTAGTCTTGTTTTGGAAAAAAAAAGAGGGGTGGGGGGGAATGGGCAAACCATTGCCTGTAGTTGATTTCTGTGTGCATCCTTTCTTATCAGAGAATAGGTGCAAAACTTCAAGAAGAGAACTGTCCTTCTGAGGTTCAGAGAAGTGCAGAAATATTTACCCAGTTTAATATGATTTCCCTTTGGGATTTGGGTTGCAATCCAGGACTTACAAAAGGAAAGAAAAAGGGGAAAAAAACAAAAAAGCCCCCATCTGCTTTCACAAAACGTGGCTAGCTTGCAATGTTTAACAGCAATCCTTCTTGAGTCTGAAAACAAACAAATCTGTTGGAATAGGCAGTACAATATGTCCTTTTACACTTGTTTTCCCCCCTTCCCAAAGATGTTAATTATTTCAGCATAAAGGGATAGCAGCTACAGATAAAAACTGGTATCTCCCTCAATAATTGACATGCTGCTGTGTTATGGTGTTGGCCTCCTAGGGAAAG